AATTCCCTGGTGCTTGTCTTATGCCTATGTCTTCAGTGTACACTGGACTTCTTCCTTTAGTACCACTGGCTACTTCTTGAAAAGAATGAACGTCGACCATTTCTTTTTGGCACAGTGACTGCATATTCCTCCCATCACCTTTTGATGCTTTCTGTGTTATTCGATATTTTGTCTGTAGATTCCCTTCAATATTGCTGAGTGTGTTCCTCTCTTTTGGTTTTCTAACATTGGATCTTTGTACATTTCATTGTAATAAATTTGACTTTTTCTTCTCTAGCTGCCCTTTGAAATTTTCTGTTCAGCTCTTTTACTGCCTTATTTCTTCCATTTGCTTTAGCATATCTATGCTCGAAAGCAAGTTTCAGAGTCTCTTCTGACATCCATTTTGGTTTTTTCTTTCTTCTTTATCTCCTTAATGACCTTTTGCTTTCTTCCTGTATGATGTTTTGGCTGATAATGTGGAACTGTTCTATACTGTCTCTTCCCACAGATGTAGTCCATTATGCACCCTCATACATACAGGCAATTATCAGGTCCAAACCTGTATTTTCTAACTTCCATACTTTTAAGTTCTTTCATAACTTAATCTAATGCCACATCCACCATCACCCACCCACCCCCGCCCCCAATCTTATGCTTTTTCTAAATATTCATGCCACCACATGCCTTCAAGTCTTTCCATAGCCCAGAACTTTTTATCTGGAATGTTCTTCCCATTCTCTATCCAGAAAACTGATACCAATTATTCAAGACCCACCTCAGGTACCTCTGAGAATTCTTACTGACTTTTTTATACTGCCATCTCTTCCCACTGCAGGTCCATATATCTTTAGTGTAGCTCTTATAACAATGAGTTGTAGTTAGGCAAGTGATTCTCTACTACACAGGGAAAATTGAAGGAAAGGTAGTATTCTTATTTGTTCCACTAGTACACTATACTTCAAAGTGAGGTAACGTTAAGTATTTAATGAATAAATTCCTATCTTTGTCTTGCTCTTATGCCAGCTACGTTCCAAACACTGTTGTGGTTTCCATCTTGTGTTATCTGTTCCTTACCAGTATTATTGGTACTTGAGAAGTGTACTTCACTTCCTTGTCATTATCCTGTTGCCTGCTACTTACACTTGTGGCTATAATGTTGTTGTTAAGAGCTGTCGAGTTGATTCTAACTCATAGCTACCCTGTGTAGTTTCTGAGGAATGGCTGGTGGGTTTGAACTGCTGACCTTGTGGTTCACAGTCCAGTACTAATTCTATAGCGCCACACCAATTAGTAAAACTCATCACTGGTACTGCCAGAGAACTCCCACTCCTTACTCATCATCATGGTTAGGATCCAATGCAACAATCAGACCTGTGCACAAATGGAATATGGTCACATCATGTCACAAAATGGAAGATGACTACATTATTCCATAGCTGCCAAACCACTAAGAATCGGGGCTCATAACTTCAACCCTCACATCCAGTGTCACTTTCACCTTGTACTTGGGCATTCATGACTTCCAGATATATATCATGAGTGTGCAAAATAATCAAAGAGTAGATTTTTTTTATTATTATCATAAATGCAAAATAGTGGATAATGAGAGAGCTGATAGGTGAGGAGTAGGTGTACTGATAAATGGAATATTCGAGTCACTAAATAATATTTCATATTGAGTTTGTCAATATTCAAAATGAACACAGCTAAACTTTTCCAAGAAAAATTCTCAACAGTATTAACCCAGTTTGAGGATGACAAAGGTCTGAATGAATAACACGAATCTCAAAAAGAATAATGCTGTATAGTTCCTATAGCAAAGAAAACAGAAGAAAAAGATGATCTTGAGTTGACTGTGATTTCTGGAATTACAGGTAATAGTTTCAAAAATGTGGCATTGAAGTTAATATATTTCACACACAGTGATCAACTCCCTTATTTCCAGACTCAGAGCAACTGGTATCATATTCACACACACACACACAGTGTAGAAATTGTTATTAAATAGCAACCGCAAATTGAAGAGTACCAGTGTGGCACTATGGGATAAGCACTGGACTACTAACTGCATGGTCAGAAGTTCAAAACCACCAGCTGCCCCTTGGGAGTCCTATCCAGGGTTGCTATGAGTCAGAACCCACTCAACAGCACTTAACAACAACAACAACAAGTTGAAGAAACAACTAAGATAAACAATTCTTAAAAATTCATATTGTCTTGCCACTAGATGTTTTTTCCTAATACAGTTTTGTAATATTTACCTGAAGTTTTTTAATGACTGTTTCAATCTGTCCAGAAAAGTGGGTAGCAACCAGCTCTGCAGCTTTACAGGGCTTGAGGGATACCAGTTCCTAGAGTTAAAGAAAAAGACAAAATTATCTTTAATGTTATATTTAAATAGAATATCCATAGAGGTGTGTTTACCTGCCTCTGCACTGTTATATGCTTCTACATTGCACTTCAGTAGATCAGGATATAAGGATCCACTTAAAGGGTGCATTGCACATGAGCAAAATTGGAAATGTGCCATATTAAAAAAAAAATTTCAATTTTTTAAAAAAGTCAGAATTCTTAGAAAATAAAAGTACTACAGCTCTGGACTCAGGCCATGATCTTCACAGGATGAACAAAAGGAACAAATGTTCCCAAATTCTCTGTCAGTGAAGTTCACCCTTGAGCTTCAAAGTAATAACCTGAAGAAATGAAAATGAGAGTATGATTGTAATTTCTCTGGCTACAAATCCTAAACTTTTACTTCTAGTGCCTGGTGGATTTAGAAACTGGAAGTTTCTCGAGAAATCAACTTCAGGTCATTTATCTTAAGTGAAATTAAAATGAGCTCTGGTAGAGTAGTGGTTACGAATCAGGCTGCGAAACGCAAGGTCAACAGCTCGAAACTACCAGCTGTTCTGGGGGAGAAAGAGGAGGCTTTCTGCTCCCATAAAGATTTACAACCTCGGAAACCCTGTACAGGGTTGCTATGAGTTGGAACCAACTCCACGGCACCTAACCAACATAACCAACAACTGTAATCAGTGTTAATAAGATCTATTACTGTCAAATCTAAGACTTTCAATCTGCCTACTGACTATTCTTTTCTTCTTGAACTTCTCTCGTCACTTGGTTTCTGGGGCCTACTACTCTACTCTTCCAACTGCATCTTCCCTTTGTGAGCAAATAAATCATGTTATGTAGCTAAAATGCAAAGACCAAATATAGTATCTAATCAAACAAAACATAGACAAGTTATTGTAACTGCAATATTCATTATATCTCTAAAATCTTTGTGTTAGGTAGTATTTATAAATTAACATAAATTTACTCACACAAATAACTACAGTCTGTACTGCTTTTGCAATACTGTAAGAGATAAAGTTGAACTAACCAATATCATAAATGAAAAAGCAGCTATTACTACAGGTCTACAGATATTAAAAAGATAATAAACTATAATCAATTTATGTCAGAATTTGTTAAAAAATGACACAAAATTGATAAATTCCTAGAATGCTTTAATTAAATAAATGATTCAAGAAAAAAGAAAACCTGAATTAATTTTTAGTCATTAAAGAAATTGATTGAATCATCTAAAATCTTTATGCAGAACTCTAGTCCCAGTTTCACTGAAAAGCTCGTTTCCATTTAAGAAAGTAGAAATTCCAACATTAAATACCCTCTCCCACAAGAGTAAACATGAATGTTCTTCAGCTCATTTTATGAGGCTAGCAAAATCTTGACACCAAAACAAGAATAAAAGAACCTTGAAAATTCTACATATATTATTTGATTACAAACACTGACATAAAATCCTATCAAACTAAATCAAATAAATAAAAATGACTATATCAGGATTAAATTCGACATATCTACAGAATTCAACATGAATAATATTTATCACAGAAAAATAATATAGGAGAAAAACAGCTACCATTCAAAATCCATTCATGAGCAAATCTTTAGTAAACTAAAATGGAAGGAAACGTCCATTAAATCCTTAAGACAAACATTGTACTTACGTTAGAAATGACATTTTAAAAAATACCATTTACAAGAGCATCAAAAAATATGAAGTTATTACAATAAATCTAACAAAGGATTGAAAATTTATACAGAGAGAATGTCAAAGTTTATAGAAAGATCTTGAATAAAGGGTTAGCCTAAATAGTCATACACTGGAAGATGCAATACTGTAAAGATGTAAAATAATTTCAAAATGATTGATAGATTTGATGTACTACCCATCGGAATTATAAGATTAAAAAAAAAAAAAGAAACACTTTGGTGAAACTTGGAAAGCAGATTCTAAAACGCATTTGAAGTGCAAAGGTCAAGAAAAGACAAGACCCTCTTAAAGATACTGTAATGGCTAAGGTTCTGTGTTAGCCTGATTAGGCTATACACACACACATTCACTGGTTTTGCTTCTCTAGAAAACTCAGCCTAAGACAGATACCAAGACTTATTATAAAACTATTACGTGGTTTTGATGCAGAGACAGACAAATGGACCAATGAATTAGAAGAGGGCCCAGAAAAACAGACCAAGTCTATAGACACTTGACATATATATTATAAGGATTGCACTATTTAGAAATAAGAAAATGCAATTTTTTAAAACAACTGTTCCTGGGACAACTGAAAATCCACTTATAAAAAAGAAAAATTAATTGGACCCACATCATAAATAAAATTGCTCTGAGATGGATCTAATACCTAAAAATGACAACTTTTTAGATGATAAAATACAAGGATATCCCCTTAACTATAGAGAACATTGTTCTCTTTGACAACTTGGGGAAAAAAAAAAAAAAAAGTACTCTTTAAATGAACCATAAAAGGACTGAAAGGAAAAGCCACAGAGTGGGAGAAGACAGTCGCAACATATATCACTGAAAACAGCTAGCATACATGCTATGTAAAGAACTCCTGTGGTTGACAATAGGTGCCATTGAGTTGGATCTGACTCACAGTGACCCTATGCACAGCAGAACGAAATAGTGCCTGGTACTGTACCATCCTCACAACCATTATGCTTGAGCTCATTGCTGCTGCCACTGTGCCAATTCATCTTGTCGGAGGTCTTCCTCTTTTTAGTTTATCAAGCATGATGTTCCTCTTCAGTGACTGGTCACTCCTGATAAGATATGCAAACTATGAGAAATGAAGTCTTGTCATTCTTGCTTGTAAGAAGCATTCTGGCAATACTTCTTTCAACACAGATTTGTTTGTTCTTCTGGAAGTACTTTTAATATTCTTCTCCAACACAGTAACTCAAATGCATCAATTCTTCTATGGTTTCCTTATTTACTGTCCAACTTTCACATACATATGAAGCTACTGAAAATACCATGACTTGGGTCAAGTGCACCTTAGTCCTCAAATTGACATCTTTGCTCTTGAACACTTTAAAGAGGGCTTGTGCAACAGATTTTCCTAATGTAATACATCATTTGATTTCTTGACTGTTGCTTCCATGGTTATGGATCCAAGCAAAATGAAATCTTTAACAACTTCAATCTATTTTCCATTTATCATAATGTTATTAATTGGTCCAGTTGTGAGGATTTTTGTTTTCTTTATATTGAGATGCAATCCATACTGAAGGCTCTGATCTTCATCATTAGTGAGCTGAAATGGATTGGTATTGGCCATTTTGAATCTGACAACCACATGGTTTACTATGCCGAGAATGACAAATTGAAGAGGAATGGTGTTGCATTCACTGTCAAAAAGAACATATCCAGATCAGTCATGAGCTACAACCCTGTCTGTGATAGGATAATATCCATGCACCTACAGGGAAGCCCAGTTAATACCACTATTATTCAAATTTATGCACCCACCACTAAAGCCAGTGAGGATGAATTAGAAGAATTCTACCAACTTCTTCAATCTGAAATTGATCAAACATGCAATCAAGATGTCTTGATCATTACTGGTGATTGGAATGCTAAGGTTGGGAGCAAAGAGGAAGGATCAGTAGTTGGAAAATATGGCCTTGGTAACAGAAATGATGCTGGAGAAAGCATGATAGAATTCTGCAAAACCAATGATTTGTTCATTTCAAATACCTTCTTTAGACAACATAAGAGATGACTATACACATGGACCTCGTGATATAGAATACATAGAAATCAAATGGACTACATCTGTGGAAAAAGACGATGGGAACGCTCCATATCATCGGTTAAAAAAAGGCCAAGGGCAGACTGTCAAACAGAGCATCAATTACTCATATGCAAATTCAAACTGAAGCTGAAGAAAATGAAAACAAATCAAGAAGAGCCAAAATATGAACTTGAATATATCCCACCTGAATTTAGAGGTCACCTGAAGAACAGATTTGATACATTACACACTAAAAACCGAAGACCAGAAGATTGCGGGATGACATCAACAACATCATACAATGAAGAAAGCAAAAAGACATTAAGAAGACAAGAAAGGGAAAGGTCAAAATGGATGTCAGCAGAGACACTGAAAGTTCCTCTTCAGAGTACAGATGCTAAAGTAAATGAAAGAAATGAGAAGGTACAAGAGCTGAACAGAAAATTACAAAGATCAGCTCGCGAAGATAAAGCCAAATATTACAACAAAATGTGCAAAGATCTGGAATCAGAAAACCAAAAAGCAAGAACACGCTCAGCATTTCTCAAGCTGGGGGAACTGAAGAAAAAATTCAAGCCTTGACTTTCGTTATTGAAAGATTCTCTGGGAAAATTATTGAATGATGCAGAAAGCATCAAGAGAAGATGGAAGGAATACACAGAGTCACTGTACCAAAAGGAAATGGTTAATGTTCAACTGTTTCAAGGAGTAGCATATGCTCAAGAGCCAATGATACCGAAGGAGAAAGTCCACGGTGCATTGAAGGAATTAGCAAAGAACAAGGTAGCAGGAATTGACAGAATAAAAATTGGAATCTTTCAAGAAAGTGAGGTGGCACAGGAGGCACTCATTCATCTCTGCCAAGAAATTTGGAAGACAACTATCTGGCTGACTGATTGGGCACAAATATCCGTATTTGTGCCCATTACCAAGAGAGGTGACCCAATGGAATGCAGAAATCATTGGACAATCTCTTTGATATCCCATGCGAGTGAAGTTTTGCTAAAGGTAATATAGGAACAGCTACAATCATACACTGACAGAACTTCTAGAGGTTCAAGCCAGATTCAGAAGAGGCCATGGAACAAGGGATATCATTGTTGATGTCCGCAGGATCTTGGCTGAAAGCAGAAAATATCAGAAAGATGTTTACCTGTGCTTTATTGACTACACAAAGGCTTTCGATTGTGTGGATCATGACAAGCTATGGACAACATTGTGAAGTATGAGTATTCCAGAACACTTAATTGTGCTCATGAGGAATCTGTACATGGACCAAGAAGCAGTTGTTTGAACAGAACGTGGGAAGACTGAATGGTTTAAAAATAAAAAAGGTGTGCGACAGGGTTGTATTCTTTTACCATACTTATTCAACCTGTATGCTGAGCAAATAATCTGAGAAGCCAGGTTATATGAAGAAAAACGTGGCATCGGGATTGGAGGAAGACTCATTAACAACCTGTGATATGCAGATGATACAACCTTGTTTGCTGAAAATGAAGAGGACTTAAAACACTTACTGATGAAGATCAAAGAGCACAGCCTCCAGTATGGATTACATGTCAATGTCAAGAAAACAAAAATCCTAACCACTGGACCAATAAACAATATTCTTATCAACGGAGAAAAGATTGAAGTTGTCTAGGACTTCATTCTTCTTTGATCAACTATCAACACTCAAGGAAGCAGCAGTCAAGAAATTAAACGATGTATTTCATTAGGCAAATGTGCTGCACAAGACCTTTTTTTAAAGTGTTGAAGAGCAAAGATGTCAGGTTGAGGACTAATGTGCGCCATGATATTTTCAATCACCTCACGTGCATGCAAAAGCTGGACACTGAATAAGGAAGACTGTATAAGAATTGATATTTTTGAGTTATGGTGTTGGAGGAGAATATTGAAAGTGCCATGGGTTGCCAAAAGAATCAATAGATCCGTTTTGGAAGAAGTGCAGCCAGAGTGCTCCTTGAAGGCCAAGATGGCCAAACTTCGTCTGTCATACTTTGGACATATTGTCAGAAGGGACCTGTCGCTGGAGAAGGATATCATGTTTGGTAAAGTGTAGGGTCAGAGAAAAAGAGGAAGACCCCCAACAAGATGGATTAGCCAAGTGGCAGCATCGATGGACTCAAGCGTGGCAACAGTAGTGAGTTTGGCCTAGGATTGGGCAGTGTCTCGTTCTGCTGTGCATAAGGTCGCTGTGAGTCAGTATTGAGTCGACTGCACCTAACAACAGCAACATACATTGTGATGACTTCCCTCCTTAGGCATTTCGTCATATCATTTATGCTACAAACAACACAGAAGTCCTCTGATTAAAAGTCTATGATTGTAATAGTGGCCTTGTTGTTGTTGCTGTTAAGTCCTATTGAGTTGGTCAGACTCTTAGAAACTCTATATAGGGTTTCCCAGGAGCTGCTGGTGGTTTTGTACTGCTGACCTTGTGGTTCTCAGCCCAGTGCTGATCCCACAATACCACACCAGAAGCCCAACAGTGGCCTTAAGATACAGTAAAAGGTTCAAGGTAAAAGAATGTATAGATGTCGGGAAAGTAGTCAGCAGAAATAACTGTTGTGCAGGTTTTCCAGCCTGTGTTTTCTGTTGAGTAAATTGTTTGCTCATTGATTATTTCATCACAATTCACATTATGCAGAGAGACATAGCTTCATTTCTGGATGTCTGGAGTCCATGTGTGCAAATGACTGCATAATGCAGATGATGTGAAATGAAGAATGAGCCATAATGTAGCTATGGAAACTTTAAGAGGATGATGAAAGGAAAAAAAACTACAAAATGATTAAAGGAAAAAAGGATAAAACTCAAAACAGAAGAACTTTTACGGGTTCTCTGGCAAAGATACATTCATCTTGCAGGGATATGATAGCATAAAATAAAACCATGTTCTCAATCCTATAGATGAAAGTGTGGAAATTACTGCTGACCACACTTCTAATGACCAATTGTACCACCTTTCAAATCAGATGTTTCATTTAAGATGTTCATATATTGGATCTTTCTAAACTTTACAATGTTAAAGAACCAAAATAAAATATTCAAACAATGTGCAATGCCTTCTCAAAGTTTCAGAGTTCATCCTTCTTATCATTTTTCATATGTATAAATAACCTTTAAACAAGTTGAGTAATCATTTTCTCACTACATCTCTAACCCATAACCAAAAGTTGTCTCTTCATTTGATCCTTGCTACATTAGGAACAAAAATTTTGCTATTTTCTCAACTAGGATTACTTCAGCATCTTTCCTTACTACTTTTTGTCAATTACCAGGGACCCATAAAACAAGATATATTTCAACAAAACTGTTGGCTCTGTTGGTTTCTCAGTTAAACAGTGTGCTATGTATCTAAATTAATCAAGCTAAACATGGATTTTTTTAACTTTTTAGTCTGATCACTGGAGTTCTGGTGTGGTGCTGTGGGATAAAACACTGGACTGCCACCAGCTGCTCTTCGGAAATGCTAGATAGGGTTGCTATGAGTCAGAATAGATCTAAGGTACTTAACAACAAAGTCTGGTCACACGCTCATCACATGTCTCTTCATTCGAGCATCTATATAATCATGTTATGTAAAAAGAGCTTTTTGCTTCAATACAGAAGTCAAACTCTTGAATTCTTATACAACAGCATGTATACACAAAGTCAGTGAGTCAGCTGACCGTAACTCGGTCAGAATCATTGTCTAGTTACACAAGGGAAGGAAATACATCAAAGAGAGCAACTCATGACAGTACTGTCTCTAAAATTTCATTGGGTGACTTATCATATATCAAAGTCATTTGAACTGCAAAGTTGGTGGTTCAAGACTAGAAGTACTACCAGAATCCATCTAAGAACCTTGTAAAAAGCCACTAAGACTTCAGTTAGTAAGTAACTGATTGAATATGGCCTATTTTCAGAAGTACATAAATTGCATACGACATAGGTTTTATGTATATAAATGTGGGATGGAATAAATTATATAAAATTACTATAATCTTCAAGTAGATCAGTTTAATAATATATCTACTACTGCTTAGTTAGCATAAAGTTAATTTGGGAAATATCCATTCAAATGGGAGAGTTAACATCTTTTTTTCTAAAAATTCAAAAACATAAAGACTAGACTTACTGATCTGATAGAAAGTAGCAGAATCCCTGTGGCCCTTAGATATCCTTTCCTTCAAGTCTGGAGCTCAACCCACCCCCGCCCCAGGGGGGTCAACTTTCAGCCAAACCTTAGACAGGCCTACAAAGTGAATAACACCACCAGGGAGGAATGTACTCAATTCAACCACCCTCAAAGTCCAAAAAAGGATCTTTTGCTCAAAAACAAATTTCAAAAGGCAAGAAGGGCAGGAACTGAGGATGAATAGAAATGGGGAGCCCAGGGAGGAGGTGGAAAGACTGCTGACGTTGATGGTACACAAACCATGTCACAAAACAAAAGCGTGTATACACTATTGAATGGAAAACAAATTTACTCTGTAAATGTTTACCCAGACTATACAACTTAAAAAAGTTAAACTACAGTCAGAAAATTTTAGGGTCTTCTCAAGATGCCAGTACTACGACACATGACAGGGAGATGTGACACAGCATATCTTAGAACAATGACAAGGCAAATGAAAATCAATTTTATGTTTACACACTCACTGGCTTGAGACTGCTCAATAAATTGGTTGGTTATGAAAAAAAAAGAAAAAGTTGTTCAGTCAGTACCTCAATATGATCCATTGCTTTCTGCCACACAGACTGCTTCTCCTCTGCACTGTGTCCAGGAATGGATAAGATATTGTGAATGTAATTAAAGACGTCTTCCTGAAGAGCACAAGACAATATAAGTTATCCATTCCTTCACTCAAGCAATATTAAGTCATTATCTACTATCTATACCTGTCTTGGTAAACATCTAGTATATGCTCATGGAAAGCCATTTGGAGGGAATTAACCGATGGACCGCTGATGCTAAGTACTTGTTTAAAGTTCAGAGTTGTGTTGTGTTATGAAAGTTCAGAGTAGACTCTTAAAAATTACAAACCTGCTCCAATTACTTTTATCTCACTCAATGACCTCCAAGAACCTAATGAGGGAATATTCTGGTTTTGTCTTTGGTAGTTCCTGTCCACATTCCCAATTTCATCTCAAATCATTCTTGTCCTTGTCTATTATGCTAAAGCTATGAATCAAAAACAACTCCACAGCATTAACACCAACAATCTGATCTTCACTTCTCTTCAGCTATATGATCTCTATTCCGTTTCTTGAACATGTAACAAATTTTCCCATCTCAAGGCCTTTGTGTATACTGTTGTTTCTCCTAGAGCACTTTTCCCTTCATTTTGCTTGGCTGGCTTCTTCTCACATTCCAAAACTCAGTTCATATGTCACTTCCTCTGAGATTACTTATCTTCTTGATCTATGTAAGCCAGTTCTCCCGTTAAGCTCTAAAGTTGTACCATATTTTTACTTTCCTAACACTTATCATAGAGTCATGATATGGTGCTGTAGGATAAGCACTGGATTGCTAACCACAAGGTCAGCAGTTCAAACCTACCAGTTGCTCCTTGGAAATCCTATACAACCCTATGAATTGGATCCAATTTGACAGCACTAACAACAACAACTTAAACATAATTTTAAATTATATATTTAGTTTTTTGTTTGTTGTTTGTTACCATCAGACTCCCTCACAAATATAACTGCAAGATAGAAAGAGCAGTATGTGGTTTAATTGTCAATGTATACTTGACTTAAAACAGGCATACAATAAAAAGCTGTTAAGAAAGAAAATCTCGTACCACTAAAATATGTCCAAATATTTCTACTGAATAGTTATTTTTACTCATTAGAAGGGGGTAGGAGGGAAACAGTAAGAAAAAAGGGTAAATCGGTCTCTTAACTTACCTCTCTCAGTGGGTCACGTAAGTAGCAATCAATAATTCTGTCATACTGGTGCTCTCGTTCATACATAAATTCACAAATTTGATAGCTAGAATGTACAAAGGAAATTGTCATTGTACCAAATAGGCAGGTGGTTATTAGCGTATTTGCTTTGAGATGCTTTCTCAAGCTTACAGGTTAGTATTAAGAGAAAATGAACATAGTAGATGTGATTTCTACTGTTAAATGAAAATACAGTATCTAAGTTCTGTTGTGGTGCTGTGTTGTAATACATTGGACTGAAAAGTAGGTTTGTACCACAAAGTTGGTGGTTCAAACTCACCAGCCGCTCCTTGGAAACCCTGTACAGGGTCGCCATGACTCGGAACCGATGCAGCAACACTTAACTACAACAGCAAGCAATGCATTAATAAGCTGAGTTTCAAGTTGTTGCTGTTAAGTGCTGTCAAGTGGCTGGTGAGTTTGAAACACTAACCTTGCAGTTTAAAATGACCTTCAGGTCCAGTGCTTATCCTACAGCATCACACCAGGAGAGAAATACAATTTAATAGTTCAATCAAATACAATTTAATAGTTCAATCAAATACAATTTAATAGTTCTATGAGAAACTAATATATGGCTTCAAAACAACTTACAACTCAGCTTTTTCTGCCATTCGGATGAGCCGACTCTCTTCAAATTGAACTATACCTCCAGCCTGCAGCAACTCTAAAAGAACCTGGACATGTAAAATAAATGCATAAAAACACTTTAGAATTTATTTCTTGCTACATCTTTAAGAATCCATTCAGTCATACAGACTATAACTTTTATTTTCTATGTATGTCTTCTTACTTCTTATAAACAAGGTGTTAGGTTGGCATTACAGTGTTGATCATATTATGTGGGGCATTGTTGTAAAGTACTGTCGAGACAGTTTCAACTCATTGCTGACCCTGTATAGGGTTTCTGAGAAGTGATTGGTGACTTTGAACCATCAACCTAGTGACTCAAACCAACCGTAAGGTCCAGTGCTTATCCTACAGCACCACACCAGGACTCCGTATTATATTATCTGTTGCTGTTGTTAAGTGCTGTGGAGTCAGTTCCGACTCACAGTGACAGTATATAGGGTTTCCAAGGAGCAGCTACTGAGTTTGAACCACCAACCCTGCAATTCAAACTGATCCTGCATTCCAGTGCATTATCCTGCAGTGCCACACCAGGACTCCATATTATATTTAAGTCTTATTTAAAAAAAAACAACCTGTTTTTCACACATGGAAGGAATGGCAAGTGATTGAAGACAGACAAACAAACAAAAACCCCTATTAGAATATTGAATTAATCCTGTCCTAACCCTCAGCACATAACCATAACCCTGTCCTAAGATAAAGAGGGAGTCCTGGTATGGCGCTGTGGGCTAATGCATCAGACTGCAAAGTCGTTTGAACTGCAAGGTTGGTGGTTCAAGCTCATTAGCTGCTCCTCGGAAACCCTACACAGGGTCGCTATGGGTCAGAATCGACTTGATGGCATTTAACAACAACAACAACAAGCTAAAGGGAACCATGGTGGCACGGTGGGTTAAGAGTTGAACTGCTAACTGAAAGGTCAGCAATTTGAGTCCACTAACCACTACAGGGGGGAAAGATGTGGCTCTCTACTCGTATACCTATGAACATGACCCTGTCTGGAAATAGGCCATTTAGAGCCTCTGAAATGGTATGAAGCAGTTCTACTATGTCGTACAGCGTTGCTGTGAATGGAAGGTGACTCAACAGCAGTGTGTAAGTTAAACATGTGTGTGACTTTTTAATCTGTTTTTCAAGAAATGAGTTTTAAATCTGTGTTTTTATGTTTTATGTTTTCTTTAAAGTCTGAGGTTCATAGGTAGTAACCATATTTACTTGTTAATATTTCCAATGAAACACTGGGGCGCATATAATTAATATCAATACTCTAGCCGCTCCACGGGAGAAAGATGAGGCTTTCTACTCCCGTAAAGATTTACACCCTTGGAAACCCTGTACAGGGTCGCTATGGGTCGGAACCGACTCGACGGCACTTCACAACAACAACAAGGGAGTCCTGGTGTGGCACAATGGGTTAATGCGCTGATCAGTGGTTCAAACTCACAGCTGCTCCTTGGAAACCCCATAAGGGTTGCTATGAGTTGGAACTGTCTTGATGACACATAACAACAAGAAGTAGCTAAATAAAGTTGTTGAATAAAAAAGGTGTCTAGGATGTTGGGCTTGATTCATCAGTATTGTAAAATAAACCTCAAAGAGATATAATCAAGAACCAGTGGACAGTCATTAAAGCAGTATCCGAAAGTTCTCCCTTGTATTTCAGTTAAGGATGCAGAGGAAGAGGATTCTTCTCAGAATTCGAAGAAACCACTTGACCAAGTATTTTCTAACACAGTAAATTGATTATTTTCAAGTTAAATAATTATTTTAAAAGGCAGAAAAGAAAACCTATAAAAATTACACATTTCAAAATTACATTTTGAGCACTGTAATGTGCTAAGAGAACAAATATAGAGGTAATCATATTTTCTGGAAGTCTCAATCTGGAATGACATAACACAAAATATAAAACAGAAATGCCAGCACTGGAATTGACTTCAATTTTCAGGAGTTGTGTGGGCTGGTTGTTATGATTGGATTGTATCCCTCCAAAAAAACAGCTGACATCCTCACTCATATACCTGTGAACATGACCCTGTCTGGAAATAGGCCATTTCTTCTGTTCAGTGAATGGGACCATATTGGAGCAGGGTGGCTTCTAATCCCTTCTGAGGGATGTCTTACAGACATAGAGAGCCACACACAGGGGAAACAGTCCATGTAAAGATCCATGTGAAAGCCAAGAAATGCCCAGGGCTGCCAGAGGCGGAAACAAAGAACTTCCTTGAGAGCTGATACCCTAATTTGGACTTCACACTAGAGAATGTAGCCCTGCTGACATCCAGAATTTGAACTTCTAGCCTCCAGAATTTTAAGAAAATAAATTTGTTCTTTAAAGTCATTCATTTATGGTGTTTTTGCTACAGCAACACTAGGACACTTAGACACCCCAAACCAAAACCAAACTCAATGACACTGAGTTGATTCTAACTCACAGTGACCCTATAGAACAGGTTCACAGGTTTTCCAAGTCTGAGAATCTTTCCAGAAGAAGACTGCCACATCTTTCTCCAAAGGAGCAGCTAGTGAACAGTCTGCCTTCTGTTAGCAGTGAGCACTTAAACACTGCACTACCAGGCTCCTAGGGAACTAAGATACCAGTTGTTAAACATACCTAGGATTCAAACCCAAATCACACAACTTATACTATATTTAAATACAAAGGTAACTGATACTCAAAACTCACCACTTATTTATTGTACTACATTTTATCTATGCTCTTGCGGCTATTTGCACTACCTGTATGGTAGAAATTTATACAAGGGTGTGCTACTGTCCATTTTTTTCAGTTACATGATCATAGGTGGAAATTGCCTATGGAAACTGGCAAATACTATAAAGTAGAGCCTGACTTATTGTTTTGTTGATTGTCAGCAAGCTATGGCCACAGCCTAATTTTATGGTTGCTATAGGTTAGAAACGACACGATGGCACTTAACAACAACATAGCTAAGAATGGCTTTTACCTTTGTAAAGGGCTGTCAAACAAACCAATAAGAATATATGACAAAGACTACAATCTGGACAGAGACTAATCTTGGGAGAAAGATGAGGCTTTCTGCTCCTGTAAAGATTTACAGCCTCGGAAACCTTATACAGGGTTGCTGTAAGTTGGAACTGACTCCATGGCACATAATCATCAAGTACATGTGGCCCACAAAGCCTTACATATTTATTATCTAGTCATTTCTAGAAGAAGCTTGCCTATTCTTGGTTATTAGGCAAATCTGTTCACAAGCAAAGAGGTCAGTTTGAAGACTAAGGTGTGCCTGACCCAAGCCATGGCATTTTCAACAGCTTTATATCCATGTGTAAGTTGGACACTGAATAAGGAAGACTGTAGAAGAATTGATTCATTTGACTGTGATGCTGGAGAAGAATATTAAAACTATAATGGACTGCTAGAAGAATAAATTTGTCTTGGAAGAAGTACAGCCAGAATGCTCCTTGAAAGCCAGGATGGTGAGACTTTGTCTCTCATACTTTGGACATACCATCAAAAGGGACCAGTTCCTGTAGAAGGACATCACACTAGGTAAAGCAGACAGTCAGTGAAAAAGAGGGAGCCCACCCCCCCACCCCAACGAGATGAACTGGCACAGTGGCAGCAGCAATGGGCTCAAGCTTAACAACAAATGTAAGGATGATGCAGGCCCAGGCACTGTTTCATTCTGTTGTGCATAGGGTCACTATGAGTCAGAACTAACTTGACAGCACTTAACAACATCATTCCTGCTTAAGAAAGTGATGGAGGAAACTGTTAATAAGGACAACAAAATAAAAGGGTGCATATTTGTTGTTGTTGAGTGAGTGGCGTCCAGTCGGTTCTGACTCATAGCGACCCTGTACAACAGGGTTTTCGAGGAGCAACTAGTGAGTTTGAACCACCGACATCGTGGTTTACAGACAAGTGCTGATCCTACAGTGCCACACCAAATGTCCACACAAAACACCTGAAAAAAATTTTTCCAGTATTCAAAAGTTGCTACTTGATTCAGCCGTCATATAATTTTGATAAACACACTTCTGACATAAGCCTTCATTGTGTCACTTTTATCTGCTTGGTTCCAACTCAGAGGGACCCTGCACAAGATTTCCAAGGAGCAGCTGGTGGATTTGAACCACCAACCTTGCAGTTAGTAGTCCAGTGCTGAACCTACAGAGCCACACCATTCCATGACATATGGAAATATCAGCAAACATTCATATTGAAACTAGCTTGGCAAGCCACTTGTTAAACATTCATCAACACACTCAAAAATACTGCATAGACACATTTTTATTTGAACAAATGTACAAGGGAAAAGTACTGAATTAGAAGGGAAGAATGTGTATTATAATCTTAATTATGACCTTGAGATACTTACTTAATCAGTTTTCTATATTCTTAAAGCAAGGAAGAAAAACTAAATCCTCTCAAAGGAGATTCCCAGTACAATAATGTTAGTATTCCATGATGACTATCCAAAGTTTATTTAGGTTTTATTTCTGCTTAAGTTATTGTTTATAAAGAAAAGTTATTTTATATAGAAATGTCATGTATACCAAGATGCAATCTTACTGCCAACAGAGAAACAGGAGCAAAATACGCCTATTTTATGATTTGTATTTGATATGATTTAAAGAGATCACAAAAATTTTAGCAGCTGCTCTCTCCTAAGTCTGCATCAGGCATTGGGTCACAGCTGTGCAGAGAAAGAAAGGGGTCACTATGCTCTTTATCACAGCCTCAACCTCCCAGCTGTGCACTATTAACTTAAAATATCAGCACAGCTCTCAAAGTACATAATTTTTGTAGTGTACTTACCTACAAAGTCTGGCTATCAATTTTAAATGGGATGACTCTTTAGTGCTCACAATTACAGTGAGTAAGCTTTAAAAGAAACAACTCCTAGAAGGGACCCTCAAGAGTGGCATGGGTTGAAGGAAGTGGTACGCAAACAGCTATCTTACAAAGATCCGTGAAGGGTCAGATGGATTCTAGTTTCCAGACATGTTCGGTAGACCTGTAGGGGATTTCCAAAAGTTGAATGCTTCAACATGCAGGGATGCTGCAGCTTTCTGGTTCAGGGCCACAAAAGGCAGCAGTGCTTACCAGATTAAGAACACTGGTAGCAAATAGGGTACAGTAAGTGCTAACTAACCGTTGCCACATAATGGAGAAGGATGGAGCATTCTCTTTGATGTCATGCTTTATGTAAGATAGGTACGGTGTGACTAGGAATTTAGTTGGACAAAAGTTCCTTATATTTAAGGGGGCTTCAAAAAGTTCATGGAAAAAAAGGAATTACAAGATAAAGGAAGTTTTCCACAAACTTTCTGAGGCCCTACTGCATCTACCTCTGACAATCAACCACTATATTTTCTGGTTGTCACTATCTTTATTTTAGTATTAGGATCTAGCACAAGTCATCTTCCCCTTATGTCTAGTGAGGTGTAGCATTGAAGAGTTCATTCTAGTTTATTTTGTCACTTTTTTCATTCCTTAATCAAAAAGAGTTCTAGTAGCTCATACCTGCTGTCTTTCAGAGTGTCGGGAGTCATCGTCAGGACTGCAGAGGAATTCAAGGACCTGGTCAAAGAAAAAGTAGTCTTTGTTGGACATCAGCATGCATTCCACAATGTTGTCATAATGAAAATAATTAAATCTGTCCTTCCATTAGCATCAATTCTTTACCTTTGCCATAACTTATACTATTGCTGGTGTTAAGTGCTGTCACATAGAGACCCTGTATAGGGTTTCAAGGAGTGGCTGGTGAGCTTGAACCACTGACCTTGCAGTTCAAATCTTTCCAACTGACTGGACTATGTACCTGAGACATCAGGCTCAGCTATGCTAACTGTTTAATAATTTAATATACAGCTTACATTTCTTAACTGTTCAGAACCATGGTGAGAAGGCAGCGACATTTACATATTGTAACTAAGTTTCTTGATACCACCAATCAAGCAAAGCATAAACTTTGGAGTCAGGTTACTTAAATTTGAATCCTAACCTTATTAACATTTAATAACATTTACTGCTAGTAAAAACACTGACTAAGAATGATCTTAGATGAGTTGGTCAATCTCTCCAGCCGTTAGTCTCCTAATCTGAAAGTGGGAGTAACAACTCCATCTATCTCAGGACTAAATTAATATAGACATCTTGCACTCTGAACAGTGCCTGGCACTATGAAGTGCTCCTTAACTGCCAGTCATTAGCTACTGTGGCTGTGAAGTGCTCTTGAGTCGCTTCTGACTCATAGCGACCCTGAATAGGGGTTCCGAGGAGCAGCTAGTGGGTTTGAACTGCCGACCTTGTAGTTCACAGTCCAGTGCTGATCCTACAGCTCCACACTGGGAGTCCAATCATTAGCTACTACTCTAGATAAAAAGTATTTTCTTTACCACCTACAGAAATGCAGGAGACGACTTCAGAGTCAAACTCATTTGAAAGTAATTTCAAATCTTTCCAAAGCAATCTCTCCTTCAGGTAATCACCATCAAAGTCTTATTATCAGTAAGATGGGGTGGTACTTAAATTGGAAAATTCTTGAGTGAAGGATTCTCAGCAATTTACAGCAACAGAAGAATGGGAGAAGAGAATCTCTAAAGACCAATCTCCACAAACCTCACTCCCATGATACCAGTTTACCAGGCAAAGTCATACTATCCAGAACACATCATTAAGAACAAACAAAGTAGTTTAGATCCAGACTAACCTGAATAGGCCTCCGTTTGATAAACGTTTGATAAACTATCACATTAAGAAACAAGTATAATCCAGCACATTTTAGCATGGACAGAGAACAGAAGAAAAATAATACTAGTTCTCAGTTTTAATGACACTTACCTGATCAAATAGGGTCCTGTTTACAAACAGTGTATTATCAGGTTTTGCAAGCTGACGGGCAAGGAATGTAAAGAGACATCCTACTTGTGAGGGCGTAAAATCTGAATTCTCTACCATAACCTGATTAAAAAGAGAGAGAGAGACGGTTTCTTCAATACACCATCTGGCTTGACATGCAACAAATACACTATTAGAAGGGAAAAGCCCTGTTACTGAAGGCTCATGAAAAGATTATTTTATGGATGGTTTAACAACTGAATTTAATATCTTTTATAAAAGGAGAACAACAACATGCAGACTCTGAAAGAAAACCATTTTAATGATGTAGGGGTATTTCTGGGTGAGAACTGAGTCATTCTACAGAGTAGGATTTCAAGGAAATATTAATCATCTTTCCTTCTGAATTCTTAAAAGAGAGTCCTTTTAAGGACTCATATACCAAGGATATAGAAATAATTCAACTAAAACATGCCCACTGATCAACAAAGGAGGAAGGGTGTGGCTTTGGGATTTAAAATCAAAATAATCTGAGAGGAAAGGTATCCCAGGAAGACCTTAGCTAGCCCATGAAGCCAGTGGAATGAATGGCTTCAGTCTTGTTTATCAGATGTTCCTTGAATGAATGGTTTTGAGAAGTGAGTTGTTTTTTTCCCACTGTCACGCACAACTATCGAATCAAAATCATTCCTTTGCTTTTAGTCAGATCTCATTTCCTGAGTATCCACTACATATAAGATGCTGTATGAATTAAGAGAGAAAGATGAGATAGGTAAGCCAGTATTAAATAAAAGCCTAATGTGATTAGCACTATAATTAAGGCACAAATGACTATAGAAGCACAATGGGAGAAAAGAAATGGGAAACCTTATCTTGTAAGCTAACCTTTAAAGGCCATGCAGGATCTTTGATGGGGAAATGTGAGAAGACAGGGTGACCCAGACATAGAGAAGGTTGTGAACAAAAGACTATGAGAAAGGACCAGTTTGGGGGACTCTGTGCTCCATTAGGACCCAGCAGCATGCATGAAGAGGAGTGAGAAAACAGAGAGAAAGGGAAGATTAAGGCCTCAAATGTCATCCTAGGTAATCTGGAATGTATTCCATAGAAAACTTGGGAGCTACTAATGGTGTTTAACCATGAGAGAACTCATGAAAAGTGGGGTGATTAGGACCATTATCCTGCCAGCAGTGATCAGGATCAAACAATAGAACGAACAAGGAGAAACAAAGGGGTTCTGAACTAGGGAAGTGATCATGAAAACACAAGAGCAGGTGCAACAGCCACTGCAGATGTAGAGGGGACAGGGCAAGTAGTCCTGTGTACAACCATGCATAAAGGAGGATAAAACACAGCAGGACTTTGAGCCTAACTGGCAGGTGGGATAACAATGCCATGAATAAAGAGACAGAGCATCCAAGTTTGAGAGGGTTGTCCACATGCTGGTTTGGACTAACTAAATTTATGGGGGCCGCTCTACAACAAATTGGAGTAAACTAGCCTGTCCCTTCTATTAAACAGTCTCAAGTTCCCTCCTCACTTAAAGACAAAGTGTAAGATATTACCTTTTATAAGACATCCCTTTATGACCTAGCTTTTGACCTCCCATTTCTTGCTACCAGTATATCCTTTTCTTCTACCCTTGCTGTTTTCAGTCCAGCAATCACAGCCTGCTCGTAGCTGGTGAATCATTACTCCAGCATATTTCCAGGTGTAAGTTGCACAAGGGGGTCTCAAAATGCTCGTGGAAAAATTCCACTAAATTTTAAATCAATTTTTTCCATGAAGTTTTTGAAGCCCCTTCATATATATTTTTAGGTATATCTGAATTCTAATGTTAATATTTAAAAAGCTTTGGTAGCTTGAAAATATCCCCCTCGCTACTCTGTGTCTCATAGTCTCATATGCATGCAAAAGCTGGACAGTGAATAAAGAAGACCGTAGAAGAATTGATGCTTTTGAGTTATGGTGTTGTAGGAGAATATTTAAAGTGCCGTGGGGCTGACAAAAGAACCAACAGAGCTGTGTTGGAAGGAGTGCAGTCAGAGTGCTCCTTGAAGGCCAGGATGGCCAAACTTCGTCTCTCATACTTCAGACATATTGTCAGGAGGGACCAGTCGCTGGAAAAGGGTATCATGTTTGGTAAGGTGGAGGGTCAGAGAAAAAGAGGAAGACCCCTGAGAAATGGATTGGCAAAGTGGCAGCATCAATGTGCTCAAGCATGGCAACAATTGTGAGGTTGGCCCAGGATCAGGCAGTGTTTCATTCTGTTGTACACAGGGTCGCTATGAGTTGGTACCGACTCTATGGCACCTAACAACAACAACAACTCCATGTCAGCATGGAGGTCCCTGATCTAGGACTCAACTCTTAAGGCTCAGCTAGTGTTCTTATCTGCTTTCTGCCCTTCTCTGTGTTTGTTAAGTATAAACTCCAGAGCTCTCTGATTCTAATATACCGGTGACATTAGTTCTACTTCACAGCAAATTCCCTTGCCACATCAGCAAGTGTCCTAACTGGCTTTCCTCCTGGAAATTCTGGGTTGTTTCTCCAATCCCTTTCTTCAAGCAATCTCAGAAGTCCTGCTTATACAAAAGTTTATGGGTTTTTATTTTTGTTTTTATGTGCCGTGAAGTTGGTTCCGACTCACAGTGACCCTGTACAGGGTTTCCGAGGCTGAAAATCTTTACAAGAGCAGAAAGCCTCATCTTTCTCCTGCGGAACCGCTGGTAGTTTTGAACTGCTGACCTTGCGGCTCACAGCCGGATATGCTACCAGAGCTCCTTAAAGTTTATGGATGGGTACTCCTGTACAAAGTAAAAAATTAACTGTCTTCTCACCTCCATGTTGCAGCTACTTAGCACACAGAATGTTTTAGGCTTAATCCCTTAGGATTGATCACATGTTTGCCGCCTGTAGCCCCACCTCTCCCAACCCCCATTCACTGGCTCCTTCAAAAGTACACTTTAACAAATCAGTACAAATCTACCATCAGAAACGAAGAAATAGTCTCAAAAGTTCATTCTTTATTAGCACAACACAGATGCTATTAAAACAACATATAAGAACAGCAACTGGACTGCTAACCACAAAGTCAACAGTTCAAACCCACTCCTTGAAAACCCTATATAGAATCATTATGAATCAGAACTAGCACTCAACAACAACAAAAGTACTTTATGAAGCGTTAGTCTCTTCATTTAGATCATTCTTACAATTTAGTATAGCTTGAAATTCAAATTTAATTAACCCGCAAACACTTTCTGAGCACCTACTAAGTCCTGGTCAATGTTCTAAATTCTGAGTATGTTAAAACAATGACCAGAAAATAAAGTTAAATAAAATAATCACTACTAGATCTACCTTGAAGATGCTTGAGTCTAAGAGAATATACTTGTAAACAATCAAGTATGGATGTATTGAATATGGCCTCAAATGTTAATAGAGAGGCAGGGGGATGAATCAAAACTAGAAGTGTGGGAGAGAGTTCAAAAAGAGTTTCTCATGCAGGAGATCGGAGTTAAGTCTTGAAGAAAGGGAAGGCAAAGGCATGATGGACTGAAAGAAAACCCTTGCGAATGATAGCACAGTCATAAAAACAACACAGAAAGGCCAGTGAATGCCAAATTTACTATGGTTGAAGGGAACATCATATAAGATGTGTGGAGGTAGAAAAGAGAAGCAGTTATAAATAAGTGAGGGACTAGAAGTCAGGGACCAGAAAACACAAGAAATTCTTGGACGTCGTGTTAAATAAACAGTTTGGATGAATGTGGCACTCAAACATGTAGTCCCTTATTTACTTAGTAATAAAGCTCCTCATTTTGTAGCCAAACACATGCTCACCTAGAATACAGACTACACTTCTTAATATCTTTTAGGAGCTAAGGGGCCATTATCTAAGTTCTGGTCAACATAAGGTAAGCAAAATCATAGTGCATACTTCTAAGGAGTTCTGTTAAAGAAAGGAAACTCTTCTTTCTGAATTCAGACTGGATAGAATTCAAATGTAATGGCTGGAAACTAAGCAGCCATTTTGGACTAAAAGACACAATTTATGTGCTAAGGATAACAATGGTAGGACAGAAGGACTCTGTATTGCTGTTAAGTCTGTGAAGCCATTGTACTAGATTAGGTTCCCTACTCCTAATCTTTCATAAGAAAAACACATTCTCATCACAATTAAATTATTGTTATTTTGAGTGCTGTGTCCTGCATGGCAAAATTAAATTCCACCTAAACCAATGAGGAACCATAGAATACTAATAGGTAGAGGGGAGGCAAGATTCTTTATAGAATACAGGAGGGCAAGATGAGAGACAGACCATTTAGGAAGGTATTCTAGATTCTAGATGAAAATCATCCATAATAGCCACATAGTGTGGAATTGAAAAATAGTTCAAATGAGGTAATGGGTATAAATGTACTTTGAAAATTATAGAGAACTAATGTAAATATAATGCAGTAATGCTATGTACAACTTTTAATTTGGGTTTCATAAAACTGTCTCCAGAGATTGTGGTCACTTTAATCAAAATTATCCCTTTAAAAAAAAAGTCATCTTTTGTCCAAAATAAATTGAAAGTCACTAAGGGAAAGAAACCTCCATTTTACAGCTAAGTGAACAGAATGTACACTCTAAGCTTTTAACTACAAGAAGCAGCTGGCGTGACTGAAGTTGTGTAGATGGAAAAGAAAAGAACCTGTCTCTGCACTCATTCATTAGCAACAGCATGGATCTCAAAATAGCTTTGTATGAATCTAACTTGATTTACAATGGGGATGATCATCTCTGGGTGTTTCAAATCACTCTTAAGTGTCACCTGTCATATATTTCAGTGTTATGGCACCACCTAAGCAGCACCAGGATGCTAGTATGAGACAGAAAATGATTCTTCACATTATTTTCTTTAAGCACTCTGAAGTTAGTCTCAACTATTGCACATAATCACAATAATACGGCAATTATCATAATATGCATTTCTCAAGAAATGTATCCTGCAGAAAGCTGAGACACACTAAAAGTTCTCTGAAAGAATGATTAGCATTTCATTTAGCTCTTGGGAACAAAGTCACCATAATAAAAATTTTAAATATAATTGCAACCTATCCTTTCACTAAACAACAGTATTTTAGGATGTTATAATTCAATTATCAATATAAACATCAACAAAGATATGCATTCCTTGAATACTTACTTTCAACAAAATATCCACAATTCGCTGCTGATATTCCACAGCTTGCTTGTCATTTTTAAAATCTTCAAAGGTCTAAAAGGGAGAAAGAAATATTTTAAATAAACATATGTAAATTTCAGAAGTAAACAAAATATTAAATTATTGTTAATAAAATCAAGAAAATTATCAAATAACTCAATGGGTTTTTCCTTATTTACCATTACTGATGAGCTATTTTTAGTGAGAAAGCAGAAAGCTACAGCTTTAATACTTAATATTGCATGCTGACTTAAAAATATAGCAAAAGTATAGAAATTGAGTGGTTATCATACAACCAAAAAGCAATTTGTGAAAGGAAGACAGGAAAGCTCTAATAGCAAAGAAAAGAACCACTAATGGCAAGAGGCAATTTGGGAGAAAGGGTTTGACTCAGAGGACAGAATACCACATGCTCAGTCATTCAGTCTATGCATTTGAAAATGATAAATGAAATGCAGCTTATTAATTGCCATGAAAAATATTCCTCATGATTTCCATGAAAACTAAGAAGAAATGATGTTCAGAGATAGGTGATTTTTTAAACTTATAATGGTAAAACTGTCAAACTTAAAATTCTTCAATCCTACTTAAAAAGAATAGTTCTTCTATTCTAAAAACACTGCCAATCCAAACAAAAAGATGGACTAAATAATATAGTTACAGAACTTCCATATGGAAAAGAAATTAAGACATTATTAAGATAAACACGTTGTCTTAAACGTAAGAAGGTAAAAGTAAATTTCAGGATAACTAAAAAGAAAATTAATACAATAAAGAAGAAAATCACAAAGACTCAGTAAATACAAAATCAACAGAAATGAAAGATATAAATGAGAATCCATTAATAAAAAGAACTCAATACAGAAAAGATTACGGAACAAGAAAATCATTCGCACTATACATACAAACACAAACAAAAGCATAGCAAAATGACAGCAATAAATTCATACCTATTAATTATGAGTACAGTGAATGAAAATATATTAAATGCACTGGTTAAACGACAGAGAGGGCAAGAATAGATAAGAAAATACATGAGTCATCAATATGTTTCCTACAAGAGACACAACCTTAGACATACAAAAAAGTACAAGGAGCTTCAAAAATTCTATTAGTACTTGAATTAATTCAATTTTTCCATGAACTTTTTGAAGCTCTCTCACATAAGCTAAAAATCAAAGGATGGAGGGAGGCAATAAGAGAATAGGCACAAAGACTGTTTGTACCCTCTACAACAAAGATACTGAAAGCCAAAGGAGACAGATGCAGATGATAGTTCTAGGACCTGAGTTTCAGATGAAGGGACAGAGAAGTGGACTGAATGCTTACTAGAAGAAAAGAAGAACACTGCAAAAAAAAGGTGACACACTGGTGACCTGTGCCAGCCAACCAGATGCAGCATAGCCATCTTAAGCTTTTGTGAGCAGCTTCTGAGACAAGAAAACATTTGCATTTGCAGAAACCAACTGGACCCTCACAAAGGTGGGAATTTTTTCTAGTTCCCCACACTCTCCTGGAGTCTACCTGCATACCCCCAGAGAAACACTCCTCTCCTGGTGGTCAGAGCTGCACAGAAGTGAGCTCCACCGCAGTAATGAGCCCCATTAAAGGAGGGGTGAACTAGCTACATTAATTCCATTTAGACAGATCCTGCTCCAAATCTGCAGAGCCAGCCCTGGCCAGCTCTTAGTAGGAGAGACAGTAGCCCTCAGTAGGAGAGACAGCTGAAAGATGTGCGTGCGCGTGCGTGTGGCGGGGTAGGGGTAGGAGGGTGGGAGAGTGGGGGCAGGGGGACTGGTGATCTGTGCTGCCTAGCCAGGCATGACGTGGTCATCTTGTACTTTTGTGGGTGACTTTGAAGGTAACCACGTGGTAGGTGGTGCAGAGGTATACCACTTATTGGTGAATAAAAAGGTGTGCATTTTTTCTTGTACCCCACATCATCTTGGTGATCAGAGGTGTGTCTAACCCCCATCTGCATATACTCCCAGGGAAGTTCCTGCTCTCTAGGTGCTCATAACGTCATCAAAGGGAGTGGGGAACTAGCAACAACCACCTCTGCACCTGGAATCAGGTATGGCCTGCTCCAGACCTACAGAGCCAGTCTGGCCAGCCCTGGACTAGCAGGACCTCACACTCGACTGTTCTCTGGGACAGAAATACATTGATCCCTAGCCGCTTTTGGGTCTGCACGAACTGCTTCTGGATTGGGTGCCCAGAACATACACCACCTAGCTCTATAGGAACTCCTCTACAGGACATCTTACCAATGGCATGACATCCTTGACTGACAGGAGACCCCAAATTTTCTCTTCTCTGGGTCTGGCACCTGCCCTGATTTTTTCCTTTCATTGTTTTTGTCTACTCTGTATTTCTCTTTCTAGCCTTTCTGTATCTGCTTTGTTTCTTCTTTGCTTCTGCTTCTGTTTTCCAAGCACTGCTGCTTCTTTCTTTATCTCTGTTTTTCTTTATTATTCTCTGGTCTCACTTTCATTCATTTCTCTACCTAATTGCATTTAGTTCTTTTTCATTCTTTTTATTTTGTCTATTTTTCTTTTTTTTATTTTCCTCTCTTTTCTCTCCTTGGTTTTTGTATTCTTTTTCTACTGTTGTCAGCTTTTTTCTTCTGAACTATCACCATTTTTGGCTATTGTTTTTCTTTTCTCTTATGTATGCGGTTTCTCCTCTTGCCTACTCATTAGGAGACAAACTCTATCCACGCAGCCCAGCCACTACCTTAACCTCTACAACTCCACCCACTGGGTAAGGGCCAATGTTAGCTGTTATACATGAGATCAACGATAATAACCAACATCAGCCAAATCCATCCTAAATGGAACTACATGAATAGTGAACATAGAACAGTACACAACAAGCTCATCCCCTAATGATACCCACCAGGAGGCAGCTGGTGAGTGCCTAAGAATACAGCAACATATACTAATCAGCTTAATATAAATACAACACTACCATAATGTCTTGGTGTGGCGCTGTGGGTTAATGAACTGGACTGCAAAGTCAGTTTGAACTGCAAGGTCAGTGGTTCAAGCTCACCCACTGCTCCTCAGAAACCCTATACAGGGTTGCTATGGGTCGGAACTGACTCGACAGCACTTAACAACAACACCATAATGACTTTAAAGCAGCAAACAATTCCTGTTCAAATGAAGAAATAAGACAGTGGCTCAAACAAATGACCGAGAGGCAGAACTAAAAAAAGATTTTTGAGGGAAAAAACCATATTGGAATTACCTGAAAAAGAATTCAAGAAAATGATACTTAGCACCCCTCCATACACTTGGACATTGGCTACCCAAAGTGGGGGGTGGGGGGAGGGTCTACAAAGGTAAAAAGGGACTGGATGACTAGCTTTCAAGAGGGAACCTAGAACCAGAGGACGTGGAAGAAGATAGAATCTCCACT